ATTGATTCCTCCAATGTTCAACATCGCGGAATAGGATGCATTCTCAATAGTTAATGCTTGTTCATAATGATTAAGTGCTTCATAATATTGTCTTTGATCTCGATAACAAGATCCAATACTATGTAAACAATGTGCCATTTCAAGTTCATTTGAATCATTTAATTCAGTCAAGACTTGTTTAGCTCTAATACTATGTTCAAGTGCTTTATTATAATATCCTTGTTCTCTTAAAATTTGACTCATATTAAGTAATACATGTGCTGAATCTTTAAGAAATGGTGGATCTGATCTTTTCATTAATCTATACGCTGTATTGAAATGATTCATAGCTGGACGAAATTCAGCTTTAGCTTCATAGATTAAACCAAGTTGATTATGAATATGAGCTGGATTTTCACTTCCGGGATCTTTTAATAATTGTAGAAAATAAGTTTCAGCACTTTTATAATGACCCATTCTCGTCATTAATCTACCAAATAATAATGCAACACTATCTCCTTCCATTTCTTTTCTTGTTTCTTCAATATATTGTTTAGCTATTTCTCGTCCATCATCTGTTACATTTAAACAAATTTTCCATAAATTATCTTCTTTACTCACAGTCTCAACTTTAAAAACAGTACCTAAATCAAATAGAACTTCTTGTTCATCAGGGAAATCACTAAATTGTGAAATATCGGCAAAGATCGAACAATTACTTTCATCTGTTTGACATTCGATTTGAAATAAAACTGGAAGAGTATCTAATCGTTTCAGATCATTTGTAGTAAAATGAAGTGCGATGGAACGTAAACGACTTGTAGATAAATAACCATTAATTGAAATAAGTTTACTTTCATTTAATCGAAATTGTTCAAGTTCAATAATTGTTAATTGAGCACCACGATAAACAGTTGTTATTATTTCTTCATTAGATTCTTCTAATTTCTTATGTTGATGTGCAAGAGTTGATGATAAATCACTAATATAAAATCTAAATGTATGTAATTGTTGAATATCTTCTGTACGTAATGCTTTATTAATCATTTTATAAACAAATGTTTCTTTTGTATACCATCGAATACATTCTTCACGTGAATAACATTTTTCAAATTCATTAATTAATTTTAATTCAATTTCATTTCCACGATAATAATTTCGACATGTATCAATCATTTCTTGTTTTGCTTGATTATTCGATGGAAGACAAATCACAACATCATGAATTAATTGAAACCTAAATAATAATCAAATTCATTTCGAAGAAAATCTTCGAAAAAAAAATTCTTACCAAAGAAACTCAGCAGTTCTTTCCGATAAATCCATTGAAACAGTTTGTTTTTGATCATAGAAACTAAATGCTTCCATTTGTTTATTTAATGAACGAATATTTTTACGAATATTTGAATTAAGATCTTCTTGATCAATAAATATTCCAGCTATTTTGGGATATTTATCCAATAAATAGAAATATTTTCTTCGAATATCACAAATTATAAATATAACTTCAATTTGTTTCAAATCAATAATACGAGGTAAGAGAATATTAGCTGATGTTCCTGGTATGACTAAGAAAATCTTTTCATTTGTTACTTTTTTAATGTATGAAATACATTCTTCTTCATTTGTTTCAATTAGAACATAATCATTGATTGATCTTAATTTTTTTATCATGTCTGTTGTTTTTACTTTTTCATTTGGATTTGGATCAAACCAGACAAGTGTAATACTTTCTTTATTTTCTTCTGCTAATTCATCAATTACCGACGACATTTTGATTGTTGTATTCGACTAACAATTTTACATGTGTCACTTACAGAAAATATTCGCAACTACAAAAAATAACGTCACTTTTTTATTTATTCATTTCGTTCTTTTATATTGTTGAGAAAAAAAAAATAAATGCGCACTACCATACATAACACAAATCAGATCAAATCATTTCATAATGGCTTCTTTCCAATTCTCTCCTCATGACAAATGTACACAAAGCAACGATCGAAATCATCTCATTCCTCTCACCATTAAATTCAAATTTTAAATACGCATTTCAATTTACTTTTTTGTGTACGCAAAAAGTCAGTTCACACATAGAATCGATCAGTGTGTCCGGTCGTTCCCACGATAAATTAAGAAAGGAGAGTCAGATTATGATGAAATTTTGTGCACAGTTTAATCTCATCAAGATCTCGCTCGAGTTCGAAGTTGAGTGTAACTGGACGATCCATTCCCGAGTTATTGAAAAAATACTGATATTTTCCTATGTTTTTCATATACACTTTCTGCAATACACATAATTAATCAATTTTATTGATTTAATTCATTACATTTAAAAGTTGCAAAGAATATCGATGTTTGAATATGGGTGATTAACTTAAGTTTCACAAGTACACGCCTACATTCTAGAAGAAGCGTTGAAAAAATAAATATAAATAAGAAATGTCACGTTCTGAAGTATGAGTGTCGAATATATACATTAATGCCATCTAAAGAAAGGAAAGAAAGAACTAAAACAGAAAACGAAAGATAACAATCTATGTCCATACATCACAATAAAAATGAAAATAAAAGTATCTTTAGTTAATTTTATAATTGAAATCAATGAGATGTGTCTTGTTTTTGTGTATTTAAAATTTAATGAGATTCTTCTAATTGAATTTCAGTGATTGATTGTCCATCTGGTAAATATGAAGGTTTAACTTTTTTAATTTTGTTTATTTTAAATACAGTATAAGGCATAATTAATATTTCTCCTTCACTTGTATATTGAGATATATTTTCAATATGTAAAGCTGTCCGATGATGTTTAATAATATATTTACACATAATCCATGATTTTATTATTGTTCCATCAACTTTAACACGTTCTTCATTATTATTATTTTGCATTGATGTAACTTCTTATTGACATAAAAACCATGCAGCAATTTTTTCATCAATTGAAGTCGATAAAAATGACTTTGTCATTAACAAACAATCAACTTGATATTTATCAAGATCATCAGAATTTATTTTGATAACTCGACAAGCATTCCCAATAAATGCTAATTGATCTAAAATTGGATGATGATAAAGTAATGCAATAATATATCTTCGTTCATTTTGAGCTTTGGTAGCACCACATGCTATTTCAGTGTTCAAAGCTTTGTAGAAATCAGTGTCAGCTGTATAAGCTTTAATTATCCATCGTGGATCTTGTTCTTCTGTTGCTTTACGAAAGAAACGTTTGATATTTTCAATTCCTTTAAAATTAATCAATACTTTATTAATATAATTGTTTTCGATTTTTTCAAACATTTTAGGAAGAGTTGTAACTCCAGCTACGTTGTCATATAAATATTTAATATATTGTCGTTCTTCTGCTGCTTTGTCTGAAACATCGTCATCAATTAATTCCCATTCAATAGCACCTGTACTCGAAACCAATCGATTATTATTCGGTATACGAAAAAAAAGTTGTTTGATTTCATCATTTTTGGCTTCGTCAAAAGGTAAAAATTGATGTTTATTATGTATTGATCTGTCAGCTCCTGCATCAAGTAATAACTTTACAATTTCCGAATGACTATGATAATATGCAGCATGCAAAGCTGTGCTTCCGTTTGGTTTCAATTGGTCTATTTGTTCAAGTGTTATTGTTTCAAATAACTTTTTAACTTCTTCAATATTGTTTGTACGACAAGCTATATAAAAGTTACTACATTTTTTCGATGGGATTTTTGTCTTTGTTTCTTCTTCTATAGTTGGTTTTGGGTTTTATTCGACGTCTTTAACTGGTAATGATTCAATCAAATGTTGTCGCTCTGGATGATCTGATCGAGAACAAGAATCAGTGCTCTTATTTTTACGACGATTAAACATGTTTTTCTTCAAAAATTCGATTATATTTCCCATGTCAAGTTATCTAAAACTTCATATTTTTTATAAATAATTAATAATTTCGATTGAAGAATGTGATGCATATCTCATCGTGTATATTCCAAGAACAAAAAAAAACGAATGAATATAAATGAAAAAAACCACAACAAGAAGACGAACGCATATGAATGCAAAAACAAAAAGGAATGAAGCATACCATAAGCACATGTGAGGATGAAAAGATAAAGATGATAATCCTCTCCGTTTATTCGTAGAAAAGCACACGCTATATATAGAATGGTGGAACACCCTGTTAGGGATATGATATATGTATATGTAACAACAGAACGAAAGAAACTATACATATATGCCGTAAGAAAAAAATGAAGAAAGATAATGATACCACCTAACACACATATCATCACGCGTAAGCTATATCATAAAAGATGAAACGAAGAAGAGCACAAGATGACATGTATAAAATATCCAAAATATATCGAAGATAGAGTGGCATGTATGTGTGTGAGAAAGAGGGAAAAGGAGAGGAGTATGAATGCAAGCAGACACATGAAAAGGGAAAGAGAGTATATCATGTCCAGTGGACATGACAAAGAAGAATTTAGTATTAATGTTGATTAAAAATAGTTTCTTCAAATGAGATAAATTCTACTCACCTGTACTAGACGAAAAAGGCAATGAAAAGAAAAGATTGTTCTACGTGTCACATGTGCTCTTTTCATTATCTAAAAGAAACAAAAACGAAAGAACAACAAAAACAATGTCAACATGTTTGACAAATAAAAGTCGTATCATTTCGTCAAGAATGCATCTATTCTTTTCTTTTGTCATTCCTATTCTAAAAGTAATAATCAAGTAACAAAAATATTCATTTTACAATGTTTTCGACACAATAGAATCAGTCCTAATGATTTCATGTACAATCACGTAAAGATAGACCATTATAATTAAAAAATTTGCATTTTTTGGGTATGAAAAATTTAATATATGAATAGAGGTTCAATCCCACTGGTTCAAAATATTTTTAAAACTGGTGAAAAATGTTCGGTAGTCTTTAACGAAACATTCATTGATATAGATAAATATTTTTCAATTTGGAAATAATCAATCGGTATGTGCAGCAACGTGTTGAAGTGGAATAGTGTTTATTGTGGGTTGTATTTTATTAGTATTATGAAATAATCTACCATGTAGTGCTAAACGACATAATTTCAGTAATTCCATACGAAATGTACGAGATGACATCGTATACATATAACAAGCTAATACTGGATAACAATCGACCAGTAATTCAATCATAACACCCATAAATCGTTCAATAACTAATCGATTCATTGACTTTGTTGTAGTAAGTGTGATAGCATTATAAAAAAGCCATATCATCAAAGGTGTTGTTGCAATAATATAGAGAAATACTTGAGTGAGTAATAGAGCTAGAACTTGAATGTCACGTATTCGTTGGGAATTCATTACTTCATTTATTTCATCTCTTTTTTGACGAATAATAAATTGACGACGTTTCTGTTTGAGAACAAGATTACGATAAGTAAGTAGAGTAAAAATACTCATGAATAAAATAGGAAGAATACAACCAGTGATAGTAGTAAAAATACTATGATACAATGCTGTGGCTATACTATAACGAGGGCCACAGATACCATTTCTTATACTATGAAATAGAAGTATATGTACAGGTAATACTATCCAAGCCAATACGATAATAATCACAACACGACGTGCAATATATACACGAGAAAAATTTCTCAATCGTACATTAGATGATGAAAGTGCATATCGATCAAAACAAGCTGCAGTTAAACTCCATCGATACATCATAGAAGTAGATTGAATAACATAATAGCGTATCTTACAAAAAGCAATTATTGTTGTCACTGGATCTACATGATTGTATGCATATATAGCATTTCCACTACTCATAATAAGAGTAATCAACATTGTTATCGATGCTGATATGAAATCTATACAAATAAATAAGATTCATTGGAAAAATATTTAAATAGATTAAATTACTCACATAACCGACAGGACACGGTGTGGAATTGTGGCCGAGAAAATAGTAAAACATTCAAACAGCAACCAACGACACCAAAAATAAGGAATACCGAAGATATATAACATGCGATTGTTTGTTGAACAACAAACAGCATATCATTGAGTGACATGGCTGTCGATGACATTTGAGAAATTTCAATGATACTAAACTAAACAATAGTTGATAGTCGTCCGTAAATAATTCTTCACTTTTATTTTTTACATTAATCGACCTTTTCGAAACTATGACAATTCAGTGAAAAATATTATGAATATCTTTACAGAAATAGAAATTAGAATAAAAAAAATATTCTGCATATGTATTTATATTGCTGACTTACTTCCTAGAAGAAATATGAAGAAGATAATAAACAAAAAGAATATGTCTGTTATAAATTAGATATTAAATCTTATTAATTATCTATAGTTGTAAAGAAGAATCATACTCTATAATATAACGACAAATTACACATTGTAGATTAAGAATTGATTGAGAGTAATAATATGAACAGAAATAGAAATATTTTTCTTTTATCTTATTTAATTATAATATGCGAGTCACACAGGTGAATTAATCTTATTCAACACGTTTGGTATTATCTTATTGATGAAATAATAATTATAATCGTTCTCTTTGAAAAAAATGTTTTCAGTAATGATTTCTTGATGAAATATAAAGGTAAATGTCAATACTTAGAGATTCATATCTATGTTTTAAAGATTAAAATCAAGATAAACTATTATTTTCTCAAAGCAAAAAATTAATTCTTTACGTATTTCCACGATCTCAGACAGAACAATTTTTTCTCAAGTTTTTTGAGGGTGTGGGTTTATCTAATAATATCTATATTTTCATGTTAGGGGAAGAAAATATCTTATTTTTATTAATAATCTTGACATATGAAAGGAAATAGGTGCAGGTGAATGACTTCCTCTTTCTTACAATAATATTTTCTTAGTAAACTCATTGAAAATAAATGATTATTTAATAATAATAACAATGACAAATGTAACATTATCAAATAGTTATGTGATCTATTTAAGTTTAGTTCTTAAACAATTGACTTTGAGTCTAATCATTCCATTAATTCTAGGCGTCGTAGGAAATTTGTCATCATGCATTGTATTTCGTCAAAAACAATTTCGTTCAAATGGTATGTCACTTTTATTTACAGCTGCATCGATCTTTAATATTATTGTACTTGTTTATGGTATTGGTACGAGTCTCTATGCTCTCGATCATATTAGTCCCGATACATATTCAATTATTTTCTGTAAAATACGTTTATATCTTCGACATATTTTCTTGATGATTGTTCGTAGTTATATAATACTCGCTTGTATTGCTGCTTTTGCACTATCTTCTTCTAAAACAAAATTTCGTTCATTATGTCAACCACGATATGTTAAATGGTCAATATTTGGTGTACCTTTTGTTTGGCCATTGATTGCATTACATATGCCATTGTTTACAATTATTGAAAATAATCAATGTATTAATATTGATTCTTATATATTTCCATTTGCAATATATTTTTTTCTTATTGTTGGTGTTATTCCAGTGTTTCTCATGACTTTATTTATTGTCTTAACAATTAGAAATTTACGTTTATTACATTATCGTATTCAATCATCTATTGCTACTCCTGTAAAATTCAAATCACGTGATCGACAATTTATACGAATGCTTTCAGCACTTGTTCTAATGTATATTTCAACCAATCTTTTCTATCCTACTAATGTTCTATACTCGGCAATAACACATTGGACTTATAAAAGCCCCGAACGTATCGCTATCGAATCGATTATTTCGTCTGTGACTAGTAATTATATTCTATATATAAACAATGTGTCACCATTCTTTCTCTTTATCACTTCCTCAACTGCTTTCCGACGAACATTTTCTCATCTTATTCATAGATACATACGACGTCTTGTAACTAGAAGTCGTCGGATACATCAAACGCTAGTTACTATGATATCAACAGTATAAAATATACTCGGACGAATAGTTTTTATGATATCTCCATGTTATTGAACAATGTAGGTTAGTGGAATGATGAAATGATCTTGTTGGTTATTCACACACTCTGATAAAGATTAATTTCAATATGAAACATCGTTATAAACTCAGTACACTGACCAACCAATAGAAAGCAAGTGCGTTCTATGCATCGGTCAAGGGGTCATCTACAGAATACATTCCGTGACTTATAGATATGAAAAGGGAAAAAACGCATCTAAGCATCCTATGTTCATTATTTCTTTTTTTTCTTCTTGGTACACATATTCTCTTCAGACAATATGTCATCTTCGTTTCCTCCTATAAGAATCAAAGAGTATTTAACTAAAGAACCTAATTGTATCATTAAAACGCTGATTACTTTCTGTAATATTGTTGGCATCATGTTAGCAGCTGCTGGTTTGAAAGAATTATATAAGTCACATACATTTGTCTTTCATCATTGTCAAGTTAAATCAACTGATGTCAAAATAATAAAATCGGGTTATTATCCACAATGGAATATTACAGTATTCCATGAAAATCAAACAAAAGATGATAATCTTATTGCATTACATGGGTCATTTTTAAAAAGTCAAGCATGGAATAGAGCAAATCAATATAAAGTAAAAAAGAATTGAATCTTTTTACAAGATTAGAGTTTTTCATTCTTATTAGATCAATGAAACATATCCATGTTATCATGCAGAAAATGATATATCTATTATTAATTGGGGTTGGCAATGGGATAAACCGTCGAGATTCAAGGCAAATATTTGTTTATTCACTGGAATAACGTTAATATCGATTGGTGCAATGATTATTTTATTGAAAAAACATTATCGACAAGAAATTCAGCCAAGAAATGTTTAATAAACCAATATATGTCAGTTCTAATTTATTAATATTTGTTCAAAATCTTTTTGTTTATTTCAATAAATCCATAGAAATGAGAGAAAGTGAAAAAAACAATAGATTCTTTTATTATATTTTTCAGTTTTGTACATAACAATTTTCCTTTTGTTATTATCGTTTTAATCTCGTTTATTCACACTCACACCCACACCCACCCAACCACACCCACATCCAAAATATTTTTTATCGTTCTAAAATGGTCAACTAGTGGGAACGACCAAATTACTCAGTCTCTTCGAGAAGAAGCTGTTTATTGATATAAAATTCAGGAATGAAATGAACTTCTAATGCATCATTAGAAAGAGTACTCTTTGTACTAAAAGAATCATTATTGAACGTGCTTTCCTATTCTTCTTCTAATATAAAGAAACTGACAGAAAATAGAAAATGATATTGCTCGATCGTGAAGTTGCATGAACTTTTTCAGATATGTTTGGTTTTTAACTTTTCTTTCGGTTCAGATCCGTTTTGAAAAAATATATCTCCTACAAAATTTGTACTTCAGACAGACAGACATTACTCTTTTTAACACAAAAAAATTGTATTGGTTCAAAAGTTAGCAATATTGTCTAACAGAGTTTGACATTTTTCCAAAAACTTTTGTATCGTTCATTATATTATCTTGTTATTGTTTTTATTTATTATACAAAACGTGTTTTTTATTTAGATCAATAATAAAAAACAACAATAAAAAAAATGAAAAATAAAAGTTTTTTATTTGAAGTGATGAAAACGATCTTTTTTTCTTTCGAGATCATCAATCATTCGTTTAACGAGATCTTTAAATTCGAATATATTAAAAAAATTGAACTTTTTTGCTTTTTCAAGTAAATCTTTTTGTTGATCATCACTTTTATATCGATAATAAACTAAATCATTTTGATCACGTTTTAAAAATCGAATATCAGTTAAACTTAAACCAATATCTTTTTGTAAAGGTTGTAAATAATTAATTAAATCTTTGTATAAAGTTTCATATGGAATTGTTAAACCTTTTTCTGAAGCATCTAAAGGTCTATCATCAATTTCTGCTTCAATTGCAACAAGTCTATCACAGAATTTATCCCATGATGAATATCCTAATCGATGATGAAAAACAGGTTTGACATAATATTCAATATAAAGACTTGCAATTTCATCGGCTATGAGAAGACCATCAGTAATATTTTGTTTCGAATTAATATCTTTCATTTGTTCAATTAATTCATTTGTTGTTTGTTCAACTTTTTCAAGACGTTTAACTGTTGAATAAAATACTAAAACATGTTGTTTAAATATATCCAATATTTGTTTTAAAATATTGTGCATTTCATTTGGATTTATTTCAATTGTTGTAATCTTTATTAAATCATTTTCCATTTGCTGCAAAGATCATTTTAGATTAAAATTATTTCAGACAGAAATAAAAGAAGGGGATTCGAGCTTCCGTGTTCGAACTGAACACATCCTCAGGAATCACACTGTGAAATTTATTAGAATTAAATGAAATTAAATTTACAAAAAGATAATACGATACTAGGAATTAAATTGATGTTGTCGTTGTCATTGTTGTTATAATTATGATATTATTAGCTATTGTTATAAGTTATAAAAGAGAAAGAAAAATAAAGAAACATGGCAAAATATTAAAGTAAATGAAACAGTTAAATTAAAAATAGCTAGGGTGTGGGTGTGGTGGGTGTGAATAGTTTGACAATGCATTACTCACACCCACACCCTTTGATTTTAGAAAAGATAATTGAACTAAATAAATCAAAAGAGAATATGAAATGCGTATGAGTGTCTCTCGTTCATTCACACTCACACCCAGTTTTCTTCTTTAACTTGATGTTGAAATACTTGTTTTATATAGTTGATTTTTCTTAGGTCAGCAAAAAGATCTTTTAGATTATTTACCAAAATATTCATCATACGTTACGCTCATAAATTCTTTTTAAAAATTGCTTTATATTAGTAAATTTGAAAAGAATAGGTTTTCTTGATTATTTTGCAAAAATATTTATTTTTCTCTGTTTTCTTATTTATAATAACTATTAGAAAAAAGAATAAATAAAATAGTTTAATTGCCAATTCGAAGAATTAGAATTATTTTTGTGCAATAATAATCATATCTTCACTATTTTCTGTATAAGAAGTTTTATTCCAATCACCATATGCTTCAATTGATGTGAATCCAACTTGTTTACACATAGATACGAATTCTTCGAGTGTATAAACTCGTACAGAATAATCTTTTCGTATTATTTTGCCAAATTGATCTTGTATAATCCAAGCTCCATGTATTCTTTTATCTTGTGGATTATATTTATCAATAATTCTTAATGTTTTTTGAGAATGAAGATGTCTAATTTCATCTTCTTTATATTGACCAGATAGAATTCGTGGAATATTTACATCAGTATGAAACAAAAGTTTTCCACCTGGTTTTAATGCATTATAAAAATTTCGAAGAACTTTATTATTTTCTTCATCACTTTCAAAGAATCCAAATGAATAAAACATATTAATAACAGCATCAAATTCTTTATCAAAATTAATATCAATCATATTCTCTTTGATAAAATTAACATTAACACCAATTTTTTGAGCATCTAAATTAGCTTTTTTTAAAAGAACTGAATTTATATCAATTCCAGTAAGATTAAATCCTTTATTTGCTAGATTAATACTATGTCGTCCATAACCAGAAGGAATATCTAAGATTTTTTCTTTTCCTTTTAAATTTAATAGATTAATAATTCCTTCTACTTCTGTATTTGTTCTTTCTTCAAGAGTTTGTTGTTGACCAATAAGATAACCTTCAATAGAATTATCACCTTCCATATAATAATCACCGAAAAAACCATATTCTTCTGTCCACCATTTTAGTTCACAATCTACTTCTTCCATGTTATCTGCAATAAAAACAATACTTGAAAATAATAGTTTATTCTTCGGTCTATGATACTATGTTTAAATGGAACTTTACTAGTTCTCAATTGTCTCCACACTAATTCCTATAGTTCGCGAAGAAAAAGACGTAATGAGTCGATCAATCGATCATTAACTATTTCGTGCTTTCTTTCAGCTTTTCAGCTGAAGAACGATAAGTATGATATAGGTCGTTATGTAAATACTGTCTCTTATAATGTATACCATTAACAAATTTAAGATTAAATTCATAGAAGACAATTTACATACTTTTCGTTAAGTATTGATAATATCGTTGAAGACGTTGATTTTGTTGTATAAAAAACAAATTTCGAAAACATTTATATATATATATAATAGAAGAAACGTCACTTCCTATGTAACATGAGTTATATATTATCTCTTTACTTGGAATAATCGAAGTTGGAATAAATCATATATTTTGCTTTCCTTCTGCACAAACGCACTCAAAAAAACAATAACGTCATTCTCTTTTCTATTGGAAACTTTCGAAAGATAACGTTAGAACGCAAAATATAATCTTTCATTCTGCTTATTCTTCAAGGTATTAACAAACGTCGTCTTAGTTTAGTCAATATCGATATAAAGGAAAAAAATCAATGAAAAAATATTTCCTACAATCGTAAATTTCTTTTTCAATATCGTGTTTCATGAAACAATAAATAATCATGTTGGAAAAAAATGGTGATGCTAAGCCACCTATTTTTATTGTGCTCGTTGTTGATGAATCATAAAAAATCGCTTTTTTATAATTATTACTCAGTGATTGTATTCGATCACATTTTTTCGAAATCGAACCAAAAAGAATGTTAGATTGAATCGATTGAGTTTTGAAAAATTTTCAAAGTCAATTGACTCAAGCCAAAAGGACTGAAATTTATTATTATTTAATTGTAAAGAGATTGCTCGAATTTTTATTTTAACAGTATAAATCGTGCACAAATGAAAATGATTGTCGACTAATGTCAACATCTATTAAGAGTTTAGTTTGATATTGAAAAATTGAGATTATCCCAAAGAATCATCAACTCAACATGATAGCAACATTATGAAACGGTTACCCTTTCAATTGGAGAGAAACTAATTCAATCAAATCAAATAAATATTTAACTCAAAAGAATTAAATTAACTGATAAAATTTCAGACTCTTAGTTTAGTTTTTTTTGAATTAACGATCAAAATATAATTTATAAAATCAAGATCAAGATTAGGTATAGCGGGTGTGCGTATACAAATTAACCATGCAGCCAAACACTCACACCCACACCCACCCTCAAGATGTATGACAACTGTTACTCTACGAATCAAGTTCTCATCAAATGTCTTTAGAACATTTCATACTCTATAAAAGAGACTAGTCTCTTTCTTTTTCATTGTTTTCATCAAATTTTCGTTTAATTCGAACGTCTCGCTAAAAACACGATTTTTTTGTCGTATGACACTCATAGCTGTCGAACAACGTGCAAAATACAGCTAAAATTTGAATCATAGCAAATATTTGCCAATCATTCATATCCCAATCATCAATGTGTCATATATTCACAGTTGAATAATTTTTCTTTTTTTTTTCGTTCTTTCTCAAATCCTACCTTATAACGTGTGTATACTTATTTTTCTCTTATCATTTTCGTCGTAACATTGTATTTCTAATCGGTAATTTTTCGTAAACAGTAAGATAAATGTCTGTTATTTGTACTAATGAAGATAATCAAACATCTGAAATAAAAGATGAAGAATCTATCGAAAATTCTACTAATACACCAACACATTTTCATGAGGTAAGACTACAACCTTGTTTACTATTATTTCTATCAGATATAAAATATGTATTTATGAGAATTGACTTTCTATTTAGCTGATTAAAACACAAAAAATATCAATCGAAAATAAAAAAGATGAGATTGAAATCACACTGAAAAATTTTAGAAAGACAAATATTGATTGGAATAGTATGTCCGATTATATTAATAATGATTTTGATCAATTTTGTGAATTGAAATTACATATTATTGATAAAGAAGATAATATTAATAATTTGATTGAATCTGAATTTGGCAAACTAATCAACGTTGTAAGAGATCATCCAACATTACAAAATATGTTGATTAGCTTTGAGCCCGTTAATACCAATAAGACTCATGTCTTATTCAAAGGACTCAAAGACAATTGGTCCATTAAACATTTAACCATAAATTCATCAGACTTCAATTTGCAAACAGCACGTGCATGTGCACAAATTCTTGCAAACAATCAATGGTTACTTTCTCTTACCATGGAAATCTTTTGTGGATCGGGTTTTGAGTAAGTTATCTTATTATACATCAAATTACTTTTCTACATTCTCTTACTATTTCATAGTCGAGATTGTGGGAATTTTTATTATCCGGTTACTAATGAATGTGTTGTCGAACTAGGTCGCTCGCTACAGAAAACTGCTCTTGAACGACTTATAGTTCAAAAGATTAGTGAGGAAGGTTTCGAAGTTCTTGCATCATATCTACCAGTTACACTGATTCATCTCGATTTGCATGGTAATAACATGCAATTTTCTAGTATTCCTATCTTAAATTCGTATCTTACATCAAATGGTCATGGTCTTAAAGAACTAATTCTCAATGATAGTTTTCCAATAGAAGATCTGCCAGAAGAAATATTATCATCATCGATGATTCAGGCCGCAAAAAGTTCGAGTGTGGAAGCGCAGATTTTGCGAAAAGATTCATATCCCTCAATAGCGATGTGGCAAATGAACGATCGTCAATGGTCCCTCTTGATGAAGGAGTTAACCAAAGATGATACGCATATTCGTAAACTGAATCTGTCGGGTCCAAGTCAGTTGGATGAAAAAACTCGATTGAATTATTTTAGAGTTATATTGGGTAAACAGTCTCGATTGACAAATTTAACAATCGGAAGTTTCGAAGATGAATTAATACAAATTGAATTATTTCGAATAATGAAAGAAAATAAATCCATTACTGAACTTGAAATCGGCTTGGAAATGGGTCCAAAAGTTCTTCGTGAGTTAGTAGATCTTCTTAAAATTAAAAATAATTTTACTTCATTGTCCGTACACAATAAATTGGGAGTTTATGATGATGACATCATCGCGTTGGCAAATAGTTTAACATCCATTGTTGTTCTGCAACATTTTCGTATACAATGTTACAGTTATATCGGTGATACTGGCTTTCAAGTTCTTCTCTCTTGCTTACCTCAGTCAATCTGCCGATTAATATTACCACATTGTCTAGTTACAGAAAAAAGTTTACCTTTTCTCTTTGATTTTATTAAAACTCATCCTAATTTACAAGAAGTTTCCATTGAAGAAAATGGAATAAGTAACGCTTCATCTCATATCAATGTACCTGATTTACTAGAAAAAATCTCTCAAATTACCAATGAAAATGGTTGTATTTTTAAGTTGAACATTAATAATAAGGTTAAAGAAACGTTAACCAAGTCAACTAATGGTCATATTAATTTAAGTTTTGCTTATTTACAAGATAATCATATACTTGAATTATGTCATGGAATACAGGAGAACCTCAATCAGGATTGGTTTTTAAACTTAGATTACAACAGCGATATCTCACACGTTGGATATTCGTATTTAGCAAATATTCTGTCATCTTCAGTCCCTGTTCGTGAACTATCTCTTCATCTTAATAACATGAATGAAGAAGCAAAAAAAACTCTTTTTCATGCTTTATCCGATAATAAGACACTGAGAAAAGTGATCTTAAATGGAAATAAGATTACTGTTGAAGATATGGAATATATTGGACATTTTATACAGAACAATCCTATGCTTACAGAAATTCAACTTTCTCAATGTACCATCAATTCTAATGATGCTGTTCATTTAGCCAAATTTTTATCTGAAAGTAATTTAGAAAAACTAGACTTTTCCATCAATTCACTTGGCGATCTTGACTGTGCAGCTATTCTTTCTTCTATTCCTCCGACATTAACCGATTTATCATTTCGCATCAACCAAATAACTCAATCAAGTTTCTACACAATTCTCAATTTTCTCAAGAAAAATCAAACATTAAAAAGACTTGACTTACGTGAAAATCCAAGTTATGATCGATATCTATCAGAAGAAAGAACTGATATTTATAAAGAACAATTAAATGAAGTAGCAAAACAAAATGGCATTTGTAAACTTATTTAAAGCAACCGTTCATAACTTTTTCTTTGCACTAATAATATTTACCTTTATTCCAGCCTCTTATTACAAACTAACTTTACTTCTCACACTAATCATACAATAGTTACATACTAATCTACATCTAGAATTCAAAAAATAAAATAAAAGAAAGATTTTTGAATTTTGAGGGTGTAGGTGTAGCAGTGTTCTCATTACACCCACTCACACTTTCTTCAAATACTCTTTCACGAGATTTCGGTTTGAAAAATTAGAATTTGTATTTGTTTTCACCGTAATCTGCGTCATAGAATCTATTTCATCACGATTTTTCAATTCTGTTGTAGAATAAAAACAAATTGCGCAATCATGATGTAAGTATTGCTTCCAGTGTCAGTTAATACATATTTATTATTGTATGGAAAGAAAAAATATTTGACAAACTACGACATTTAACAGAGTCGATATTTATGTCTGAGAGAAGTATTCAATCTTTTCTTACATTACCTGTTGAGATTGTCTACCGTATTCTTGACAATCTCGATCTATTATATATTATTTTATCAGCCTGTAATGTCTGTACACGATTGAATGCAGTTATTGAAACATACCATCAATATCAGGTAAATTTTATTTATATTTTCAAATGAATATTAATTTAGTTAGTTTATTTGTTCATTTAAAATTACATATATGAAAACATAATCTATCGTATTTAATAAATTATTTTCAACAGAAAATATGTAATGAACACTTTTCTAAATAATTCTTATACTTTCAGATACTTTCTTGATGTGTATTCAAAATAAAATTCCTAGAAGATCAGATATTAACTTAAATTTACACGTATCAAATACACGAAATATATGTTCGATTTTTGTAATAAAATAGAAAAGATATGGCATTATAAGGTGATTATAAGAACTTTGAATTGTTTTCGTATTTTGTATCCAGTTTTAAATACTACCATCGCTCGTCTATCCTTATATAGAATAATGACATATCATGTTATTCTTTCTTTCCCGTTATGAAAATAATAAAATATATTTTAGAGAATATGGATGTATACAAAAATAAAATACAATCATTTTTCATAGTTCCATCTAGTTTTCATCTTCTATGATATTATGAAATAAATAGATGAAATGTTTTTCTTTAGACATTTTCTATAGTTGAACTTCAAAATGATGAAGTTGACAAAAAGAAAAATGAAATATTTATCAAATGTATTAAAAACTAACAAAGTATGATAAGATATAGAAGCAATCCATTCATTTTATGCTTTCTACTATTATTCAATCTAGACAATTGGTATTGAAACAACTCAATGAGTTATATTCTCTCTTCATCTTTCCATATTATTACTAAACTTCTTTAACAAAGATAATAACAACGTGAATCCTTATGAAGAATGATATTGGTGATGAAGATACACAATATCTAAGCAATGCATTAGAAACAAACACAGTGACTTATATAATTCTCTATTAGTATTTTTAAATCTTAATCAACACTATTCTCTATAGACTCTAACATCATTGAGTCTTGTTAACAATGAAATCAATTCTAACGGTGTACAATATCTTGTCAATGGATTACAAAATAATAAAGTAAGTGATATTATTTACTTATCTTTTGACATTATGACAATATTATTCAATAAAGACACTCGTAAATTTAAATCTTTCATGGAACAGACTTAATTCTAAAAGTGCATTATGTCTTGCCAATCTGTTACGAACTAACAGAGTAAGTCATATTCTTTTCTAACTCTTACTATTCCACTTTAATATAGACACTCGTAATATTGACAATTATTGGTAATCAAATTGGTTCTGTAGGTACACAATATATCAGCGATGCATTACAAAACAATTCAGTGAGTCATATTCTTTTCTCATCTTTTTACATTGTTAATAGAATTATTTAACAAAGACACTAACGACGTTGGACCTTGAAAAGAACGAAATCGGTGATGAGGGCGCATAATATCCGAGTAATGTATTAAGAAATAATACAGTAAATTACAATTATTTTCTTAAATATTCTATATATCTCATCAACATTATCCATCATACAAGTACTAAAAACTTTGAGACTTCAGGAAAATCAAATAGGCCCTGAAGGCGCTCAATATCTTGCTAATGGATTACAAAATAACAAAGTGAGTGATATTATTTACTTATATTTGTATATTATAATAGTATTATTCCATTTAGACAATTGTACATCTGTATCTTCAAGAGAATCAGATTGGCTCTCAAGGCGCAAAATATCTTGTTGATTCATTAAGAAAGTACTCAGTGAGTCATATTCTCGTCTCATCTTTGTTTCTTCTTCTTCTTCTTATTATTATTATTCTTATTGTTTAACATAGACACTCTTAATGTTAAATATTCACAAAAACAAGATCGGTACTGAAGGTAGACAATATCTGAAGAACATCCTACGAAATATACCGACAACAATACACTTTTAGAAGATGAATAAGCTAGGCACCAGATTAAATTGAATTTTCATTTATCGAGAGAGAAATTTAATCGAAAGATCTTTTCAAATTTTAACTGTAAAAAACTGATTTCACTTGATTCGAATGTTTTTTGATTTATTCTAATAAATAATACACCTTTCTGTAACTAATAGATTCAATTTTTTCTATTAGAGTAAGTACCAAATTAAAGGTGAAGAGAAGAAATGTGGAATACAGGTAACTGTGGATGTGAGTGTGGATAAAGAAAAGATGAACCCGCATCCACACCTTTCTGATCAATGAACGAAAAATCTACAGAATAATTTTAAATTGAATACAATTAAACCTTTGTAGAATGTGAATATAAGTGGGTGTTAACATTATTTTTGTTCATCAATCACACATTTAAAAGCTTCTTTTAGAATGATTCAATACTGATAGGATAAAATTTGGGCAGTATTATCACACAGCATTCTTATTATATAATCTATATAACAAACTCATTAATAACAAACAGTTTGTTCGCTGTTGGTAAATTGTGAGTATTCTTCATGTATAATCTATCGTATTTATCTCACCTACTCAAACCCACACTTATATCGCGATTACCGCTTCGTATCTGTATCTTCATTGGTATTGTTACCAATCTCAGATTAACACCCAATTTAACTCACAAAAAATGCGGAAACTTCGGATTTTATCCGAGAGTTATGTGTACTGAAAAAAAGTATATATAAAAATCATAGGGAAATATTTCGTCCAATTAGGCTCAACTTTGAACTCGACCGAGATCTTGATAAGACTGAATTGTGTATAAAATTTCATCACAATCTGACTCTCCTTTCGCAAGTTAGCGTGTAAACGAACGGTCGGACACACTGACCGATTCTAGAGTGTACTCACTTTTTGAGTATACAGAAATTGGGATTATAGAAAAGAGTTATCAATTGGTTTCACAAGAACACCATCAACTCAATATACTGACAATATTGTGAAACGGTTATTGTTTGGATTGGAGGGAACATAATTCAGTCAAATATTTAACCTAAAAGAATTAAATTAACTGATAAAAACTCAGATTCTTAGTTTAGTTTAGTTTTTTGAATCAATGATCAAAATCTAATTTATGAAACCAAGATCAAGATTAGGTATAAATATGTAATTGTTTATGAAGTTATATGGAGATTCACTGCGAAAATAAAAAGAAACTGAAATTCAAATAAATTATATATACAATAATTTAAAATAAATTTTAAGGTGCGTTTTGTAAGGATGCGCATGAAAGTATTCTAATCAACCGCATTCTTCTTCTCAATTTATTAACTTTTTTTATTTCCTCTTGTTAATCAACTTTGACAAACATGGGAAGAATAATAATTCTTTGATTGTTCTTCTTCGACTATACAATACAATCTGTCATAAATTAAAGATGGAATTATTGATTCATATACATTTGCTATCATTCATTATACTTATGTTGACCGTTTAACAAATTGATATAGATATACCTGTACTAATCTGCTATTTATTTTGAGGATTATCATGAAAAGCACTACATATTTATCAATTAAATATAATACATACACCTAAATCTTGAGGGTATGTATGTGCACCAATACTTTTTCTTTATCCACACCCACACTCATTTCTTATTTTTTGTATCTTTTTATGAAAAAAACCTTGTGCAAACATTTTTTTTACTGAATAATATATTTAATAGAAGAGGAAATATACTTTTGATCATCTAATTTTTCTAAATGTGATACTTCATAATTTTTTGTCGGATGCTTGTGCACGATGTATACAAATTCTCTCTCACACTTAACACGTTGTTTCCGCAGATCATACAATCAATGTACAATCAAAGTCGTTAGTGAATAGGATTCATATATCCGAAGAAAAATGAGAGACGCTTTCTCTATTTGACAGTGCATCATGAGAGAATAAATTACTATATTATTGAAGGATAGATGATATAATGTACAATCCAATGTAATCCTAAATGTGAAGGAAAAGCGTATTATAATAAAATATTATTTATCAAAGATTCTTGGACTTTAATATGACTGCTAATAATTTCTATTTGATTTGTTCAAAATAAAATGACGTTTTAGTCAATTTAGATTCTTTTTCAATTATTAATTGTCTTCCGCACAAAGAAACTCTAATTAGATCGAGCTCAATGCTCCAAGCAATCAGTGCGAGAGATTAAAAGTGATATTCCTTCTTTTTTCCTTTTTTTATTAAAAAACGACGTCTTAGTTTCTTTTGCGCTGTTATTATTTTTCTATTTCCGTTTTTGTCACACTAATAAACATGATACGATGATATTTTTTTAAAGAGAAATTTCTTTCTCTCGACTTCCTTAGCAACGATATACGTAGTAAAAATGTTATGTCCTGCTATATGGAAGAGCTCGTCCTGTCTAACGAGAAGACATAATGTGCAACCGTGCGTCTCGTAGATGATAAAACAAGAAAAAAAATATTTATTGCAAGTGTCAGAAACCATAGAAATATTATATGCCATAAAGAGTATGTATCTCAGTCACTCGTTGACATCCAAACGAGGAACACAGGATCATTAAACCATTACAATCTATTACATCAAGTATGGTAACACTTTTTCATTTACGTTTTCTATTTTAAAGTCTTTACAATCTTATCAACATAACAACAGATAAATATTCCCTAGATTCTATTCTAATATTAGCTCATTGCTTGTTGTCAGACTTGAAACTAATTATTCCTAACCCATGAAATTAATCAAATATTTTATTTTTTATTTCAATATATGCCGAAGATGGATGATAGGACTAAAAACGTTGAATTCGCTGATATATTTTTCAACGTTCATAGTTGATTTAAACTGTCAATAGTTATAGGAAAACAACACAGCTATTGACACTTTTTTAGTTATATATCAAGCTGAGTTTGAAAAACAAAATTTTACGCTTGTACTTCATTTATTGTATATTCAGCGATTTTCATGAAGAAAAAAAGAAATTGTCTGTTGTGAAGAGCACCTATTACGCACGAAAGAAAAGAATCGTTATTGAGATTGATATAGAACGGTTGAAAACGCCTTTAAACACATAGAGAAAAAAAAGAAGCTAGGTGTCTTTTGCTCATAATCGTAGCTGCCGAGTGAAAAAGAAAACCAAACAATTTTTTTTTCTTAGTGATCCGTTACACATGCTTTCAAGCGTGTTACTATCTTGAGGGTGAGTGTGGGTGGGGATAACGAGAATGATTCCATAGCTATAACCATACCTACCGCCTCAAAATAAAACAGCGGAGAATGGGATTTTGTTGAATTATATATGAATGAAATAATTTGCAGAAGAAATAGTAAGAGTAAGTACATGAAAATTCTAGATTTCTACAAATCGGTGCTTTACCGGTTTTTCAGAGGTCCCTTGCATTTGAAGAGTTCGCAATTAAAATAAGGCAAAAACTTTTTTAAAGGTGATATTACAAGTTTGCATCGCAAATTCTATCGAATCATGCATAGCTCAATGAAATTCATTTTCGGGCTGATTTTTGGATTTCACATGTCTTATCTGTCAAGACGAGTAGTGTATGAATACACAGTAACGGTGGATAATATGATCATATTTTTCTTTGTTTTAAATTATGTTTCACATATCAAGATATGTATTCAACTCATGCCCTATTCATAGCTATATTTGATGAAACTTTTTCCCAAGACTGTTTCCCACAAGAATAAGAGATTCAGATTATGCAAAGGAAAAGTACATTACAGTATCACCGTTGTTTTCTTCGTATTATAGTCGATGGAATTAGTGTATGTGCTTCTCGTGTTGTTTGTCATCACACGATCCAGCCATCAAACAGCATACACATGCAATTCGAGCGCATCATGTGGTTGTTCCGCTCAGACGGCAATACTCACAAAGATTGTGGGTGGAGAAGCTGCACAACCACAATCTTGGGGATGGGCTGTGGCGCTGACGTTCAATAGCCGTTACCTAACGTGTGGTGGGACAATTTTATCAAGCTCCTGGATCCTGACAGCAGCAAATTGTGTATTCGGAAAAAATGCTTCTCTCATAAATGTCTATGCAGGATCGAATTCTCTAACAACTTTCACGCAAGAGATTCCAGTACTCAACGTTTATGTGCATCCCGATTTTAATGCATCAACTTTTGTCAACGATATTGCTTTACTTCAACTCAACGGATCATTCGATATGAGTGATACAAATCTAGCCAAAATATGTTTGCCACCCAACACTACACAAATTTATCCACCCATTAATTCCACAGTAAATATACTTCTCCTATTAAATCACTGTTTCAATAATGTTCTAAACTATTTTTTCACTTTCAGCTTGTAGCAATTGGATGGGGATCATTGGCTCAAGGTGGTTCCTTATCACCAACACTTCAACAAGTGACGCTTCAAGCAGTGTCCTATTCTAGTATCGGCTGTCAGTCTCTCGTGTATGACACAACAAAACAATTCTGCGCTACAGTCAATGATAGTAGTAAAGGTAACAATCAAAAGAGAAAGATGTTTATGTATTTTTTATGAAGTTTTGTATACAGGATATTTCATAAGCCCTTTCCTAAAACGTTTTTTGTGGGTGTGGAATCAACTTTTCTTCACTGACACCCACACCCACCCAAACGTTTTAGAAGAGACTTTTAGGACATTATAAATATATATCTATATATCTATACATAGATACATGTCAAGGTGACTCGGGAGGTCCTCTAATGATGTTCACGTCGACTCAACAGTGGATTATTGTTGGTATTACGTCGTACGGCCAGGGATGTGCAGTAGCGCCATAT